CTGGGCTTGGTGGCCGCGCACCCGCACCCGTACCTTGGGGCCCGGCTGCCCTGTGGCACCCTGCTGCCCCCTCTCTCCACGGGAACCCTGAATAGACAGGAAGCAGAGGTTAGAAGTGGGGGGCTCGGAGGCGAGCTGGAGCCCCCTAGGTCTCCCCGCTTCGCGACTCCCCTCCGGCCCCGCCGGGGACACAGACACGACCCGAGTCCTCTCCCTCGCCCACTTTTGACCCCCGACTCCCCTGCGCAGCCCCTCCTCGCAGCCCCGCCCCCAGACCCGAGACGCGCGGGGTGGGAGAAGCCGTCCGTTTCTTACGGGCAGGCCCCGCTCTCCTTCCAGGCCCGGCTGCCCTGCCTTCCCCTGGAAAATGGATCAGGTGAGGGGAGCAGAAGAGAGTTAGGGCGCAAACACATGACGCGGACACGCGAAGGCGCCCCCTACAGGCCTGGAAAGACATCTGCCACCACCTCTTCACAAGCCTTGCACACGCACACGCACACGCACACGCACGAAGATCACAGACCTGTATGATCGCACCTCCAGGACCCGCCCACACAAGCATGCCCCCCACGTGCACGCCTGCTCGCCACAGCTGCACACACGGCTGCATGCCACCAGGACAGGCACCGGGTGGCCGCAACCTCAGGCTGCCACGTGAAGCCTGTCACGCAATATGTCCCTTGAATGCGTGTACACTCCATGTAAACACGCGTGGGTTTCTGCGAGGACACAGTCCTGATAAGCACAACTCGTACATGCACTCATGTGCCTACACACGATGTCCCTTTACCCAGCAGCAATGCGCAGAGCCAAGTAATGCATGAATGTGTGCTCAGTCCCTCAGTAGATACGCATGTGTGTGTATCGTATCCTTTCACACACGCAGGCATGCCCCTCACACTCATTTATGTCCACAGTCACACACTGTGTGTAGGCTCATGCCCCGGTCACTCAGCCACGGACCCACAGGCGACAGCACCCACACCCCATCTAATCTGCACTGAGAGGCACGCATGCGCACAGGTACGCACAGACACGCCTGCCAGGATGCCAAGTGGGGTCACCTGCATGTGCCCTGCACTGCACATGGGAAGAAGTGTGCACACAAGTGTTTCCAGGCACACACACAGGCACTCAGCCCCCCCCGCCC